CACGGGAGGGGGACAGGCCAGCGGCGCCTCTTCGGGGCGGACGCTCTAGGAGGCGGGGCTCAGGCCGTATTTGCACAGGTTAAGCCTGGGTGTTTGGCTTCGGGGGGAGGGGGCCCGTAGCGTGTGGGGAGAAGTCCGCGGCCCTCCCCCCGGATCGCCCACTCCCAGCCGAGATTCAGAGGCCAGCCTGGCTTCTGCGGGTCCGGTGGGCGACCCTGCCCAGTTCTCCCCGTTTGTTGGTGCACCGGCGTCTCCGAGAACTTGCCGAGCTAACTTTCGCCCGCCCGCTTTCCACCAGGCGTGCGCCGCTCTGGTCCAAAGGCGGCTCCCAGCAGCCTGCAAATCGCGCACAGGCGAGCAGAGCGGGAAAAGCCGCGCGCCCCGACCGCCCCGCGGGGCCCCGGTGGAAGAGCCCGCGGCGCCCGAGCGCTGGGCAGCCGCAGTCCGGCTGAACTCCGGGGGCGGTTGGGCGGCTTTCCCCAGAAGCCGTTCCCGGGGCCGGAGACCTTCGCGGGGAGGCTCTGCCGAGGAACAAAAGGGCTGCTCTGCACGAGGAAGCCGAGGAGCCAAAGCGTTTAACCTGCACAAGCCTGCAGTTGTTGCGGGCAGTTATTGCGCTGTGGAGAACTCCAGCGACGTTTGGATTAAAATTTAATTGTTGCAAACCGTACATTCATTCCTTGCCCGAACCTAACCCCGCTAGAATCGTTAATTTATTCACGGAGGGAGTTATGTAAGTCATGTATTTATTTGCCATTCATTCCATTTATATGACATATATCACATTAAATTATATTTATATGACATTTATGACTCTCATAAAGGTGAGATATTTGTATATCTCAAATGTATGATAGTGGGTGACTACGAATGAATAAAAGAAGTTAAAAAGAGCACAGCAAAATAATAAACAGCATGGCCAGTGGCGCAGACAAAACCTATCAGCACCATGAACGCAACCAGTTTGGGCTCAGCCACACGCCAGGCCCCAGGCTCAGTGGCAAAAGGTCTGCAAGGCCTTCCCGAGAGCCAGCGCGGTTGGGGCCAGTCTGACCTCCAGAGGGTGGGCCTGGACAGAAGAGACCCTCTTCCTGGGCCCCGCCAGGTGCGTCTCCCCAACGGACGGGACCTGGAGCGTGCCTCCCCCGCCAGATCTAACGGGATGGGAAAGAGGGGCCTGCGGGTAACCTGGCCCCAAGCCATTTTAGGTGGCCCGCAGCGCTTCAAGCCTTGTTCTTAACCTGCCTGATGTTCTTCAAGACACAAAAAGGTGCCTTGACCCAAGGAAAGGGAAGGAGAAGGAGAAGCACAGGGACAATCAGGGAGTGATATAAAATGGTGCAGATTATTTCAACTCAGCTCAACACAGGCTGGTTATAATAGACTAACGACTGCAAAATTTCATTTTCCTTCGGTGCTGGTATCACATCCTTCAGAGATTCCCCAGAATTAAGGAATCGGGCATTGGCTAGCTATGCCTGCAGCTTTACTACAAAGCCCCCATGGCTGCTTAGTTCAGAGTGCAGGATCCTTTCTCATTAAAGAAAAAAGGACAGGTGTTGGAACATGCTGATTACATGTAGTCCTCGCTTAACGACCACAATAGGGACTGGAAAATTCATTGTTAAGCAGGGCGGTTGACTCATGCCTGATTTTACAACCTTTTTTGCAGTAGTCATTAAGTGAATCACCATGGCCGTTAAGCAAATCATGTGGTCATTAAGGAAATCACACAGCTTGTTGGAACCAAGCTGGGAAGGTTGCAAATGGCGATCATGTGACCTTGGGACGCTGCAACCCTCATAAGTGTGAGCTGGTTGCCAAGCACCTGGATCATGATCATATGACAGTGGGGGGGGGGCTGCGAAGATTGTAAGTGCAAGGACCGTAAGTCCCTTTGTTCAGCACTTTGGTTACAACAGTTCCTTCCTTCCTTCCCTTTTTCCCTCCCCCTTCCTTCCTCCCTTCCTCATTCTCCCTTTCTTTCTTCCCTTCCTATCACTCCCTTCTACCCTCTTCCTTCCTCCCCCTTCCTTCCTTCCCTCATTTCCTTCCTTCCTCCCTCACCCACCCTCCCTCCTTCCTTCCCTTTCACCCCCTCTTCCCGTTCCTTCCCTCCCTCCCTTCCCCTTCCTCTTCCTTACTTCACTTGCTCACTCCTCCCTCCCCTTCCTTCTTCCCTCCCCTTCCGCTTCTCCTCCCTCCTTCCTTCTTTCCTTCCTTCCTTTTCCTTCCTCTTCCTTCCTTTCTTCTCTCCATCCCTTTATTTCCACATATTATATAGCCTTTTACCATATGTCCTCCCTTCCCAAGAGCCCTGGTAAAGTTGCCGCCTCCTCCTCCCTCCTTCTCAACCTGCCACTTTGCTGGGGGGAAGGTGGAACAAAGGGAACCGCAGTCTGTGAGAAAAACCGCCCCCTACCCCCCATTCTGGCATGTCCCCAAGGGCCCCTCCCTAGAGGAAGAGGACTGACCCATTGACCACCAACACCCCATAGCCAGCCCAACCTTGTCAGCAGGCATCGGAGTCACTCCCTCGTCCTTCCCTCACCACCAACTGCCGTTAAAGAGATTTCAAATTTCTGCCTTGGTTCCAAAGCAGCCAATCACCGCTCACCTGTCAGGCCTTGCCGCCAGACGATTGGGCGCAGGGGACAAGAGGGAGGCCGGAAAGAGGTTGGGAATACACCCATGACAATCACATGATCTGGGCTGAAAGCTGCAGTGCAGTGCTGAAGCAGCCACAAATTTCCCAAATTTCAATCCCACTGGAGTAATGGATGATGGAATTTGGGCACATTCTGTAAGCTAGCCGATTTGAGGTACCTTGATTCAAAAATTGTTGCCCTATGACACACCTTTTCGCCCAGTTGAATGTTACAGACAACAGGGTTTTAGTAGTATATAGATAACAACAAAGCAACAACATGGAAGAACGTTTAGGAACATGGTATGTTCTCTTAGTTTGAAACCACTCTGTACTACCACTTAAAGGCCCTGGCATTTCCTTCTGCAAGATAGGGAAATCCAGCCCTTCTTTCACCCATTATATTCACACCTCTCATGATTTTTGTTCAGTATTTCTATAGACAGTTCTAATGTTTCCAGCACTGCACTTTTCCCCCAGTCCAATGTGTCCAGAAGATGCCTTCCATGCCTACATCATTCCTTCAACCTCAGACATTTGGTATCTAGATCAGTGTTTCTCAACCTTGGCAATTTTAAGATGTGTGGACTTCACCTCCCAGAATTCCCCAGCCAGCCTTGCCAAGGTTGAGGAACACCAGTCTGTGGAGTCCTAGGTGCTCTCTGAGCTTGTTTGCTTGCAGATGTTTCATTACCCAACGAGGGAACATCATCAGTGCGAGTGTGGAGTTTGCTGCCTGTTTATATACAGTAGTTTGCTCTGCCAGTGTTGGTGGGGGTGTGGTTTTCTCATTGGTACAAACTGAGTCTATGACTCAGATGTCACCCACAGTCATTGTTAGGAGATGGGAAGCCATATAAATTATTTAAATAAACAAACTTAAAACATCAGCAAATGACTCTCAAGGACTCTGGGTGGTAATCTAATCATAGAATTGACTGATTAATTAATTAATGAAAGTAGGCAACCACAGGAGAGATAATAGATAGGTAGAGTGAGCCTTGGTGAAATTTAGAGGGTGAAGAATGGGTGTGGGCCTTTGAGGGCACTTCTAGAAAAATCCCCTTTTCTTTGCCACCCAAATATTCCCTGCTGAATAGGTTTTACTGAGTTATGGGGCAGTTCAGAAGATTCCAGAAAAGAGTCATTTCTAACCTGCCACCGATCCCAGAGGTTTAAAAAAGAACTTCAATGTGAAACCAGTGCTTCTTTATATTTTAATGTGTCATTATTTCTAAAAGCCAGCGACAACCATTGTGCTTGATTCTCACCTGCCTGCTGTTTCACTCCAACACTAGTAGCGTCTCTGGACGTTTTCCAGAATCTCTGAGATTGTATGTTACTGCCCTCTAGGATGTCCCTCCTGGATGGATTTTCATGTGTTTATTAAGTATGAAAGAACTACAGAATCTTTTTTTCACACAGTGAGCATCTGTATGGTTTCTCCCTGGTATGAATCCGCTCGTGGACCTCCAAGTTGGATTTCTTATGGAAGCTTTTCCACAGTAGGCGACCTATGGGGTTTCTTACCCGTGTGCACAATAGTACGCTTCCCGAGATGTGAGCTAGAAACAAAGTTCTTCCCACACTTAGGACAACTGTATGGCCGCTCTCCTTTGTGGGCCTTCATGTGGATCACAAGCT